GGTCTAGGTTACGACAACGGTCAGTGAGTCTCATATCCTTATCCTTCCGTGGTCTTATTAAACACTTAACATAAGTGCTAGTGTAATCCTTCAGTCAAAGACCAACTGAATCGGGAATACACTACAGTCTTTTTCCAAGTGGGGTCTCACTGCCAGTCTAGACTGTGAACGAATAGTTTAGTCTTATAAGGAACCGATAGGTGATCTTTCCGTTCGAAACTCTTCGAACCACACTATCTCAATATAAGACATGGAGTATGTATTGCATAAATAAATAAACTGCAAACATATGTACTTTGACCGAAACATGATTTCCAGATCAATATGAAATTGATAGAAACTGCAAAACACAGCTTTTACAGCATACCCCTAACAAGCCTACCACTACAGCAACAGAAACGACCAAAGCAAGCAAAAGGAGAAAACAGAACAACCTAAAAACTTACTAGAGGGAGACAAGAGATCAAGAATGGACCAAATAATCAGTTTTAAGCCATGCTGATGAAGTTGTTTGGGCTATGGTGAACTCAGGGAGCCAGTAATTTTGGAAGACCCATTGGTTGTGGGCTTTCCAAATCCACCATAGAAGGAAGATGGTTAGCTGGAGCCTTCTTTCAGACATGGCATTTTTCTTCAGAGTGCTTAGCTTGATCCACCAATGTTTAAAATCAGATGTGCTGTCCTCAATGCCCTCCCAGTCAATAGCAGCCAGCTTCTAATAAGTTTTTGATTTAGTGCAATGGAATAGAAGGTGCTCAACAGTTTCTAGCTCAGCACCATAGATTTTACACACGGGGTCAATAGCTTTGATCCTCTTGTGGAGATTTTGGCTAACAGAGAGAGTGTTTATGAAGCATCTCCACAAGAAATGTTTGAGCTTCCCTGCAATTTTCAAAGACCACATTCTGTTTCTAGCTGTTTGTACTTCTTGGGTCATCAAGTTGCATTCAGGGACATCTAGCTTGTTCCACTTTTCCTTAACCAGTACTCTATACACTTCAGCTACAGAAAGGTTTCCTGATTTGCAATGGGCCCAAGTGAGTCTGTCAGCAAGATGAGGGTCCATACCTTTGATGCTAAGGATGGCAGAACTTTCACTTTGGGGAAAACATTGGAGAACCAAGTCCACATTCCATTTCCTTCCTGTGTCATCCAAGAGCTCATGGACCTTTGATATTCTGCTTTTCCAGGGATTGCAGCTGTTAGGCCTGTGAGAGGGTATGGATAGGATCCAAGGATAGTCCCATATGAGAATTTCAGTGCCCCTGTTCCCCTTGTAGAGGATATTTTCAGTGAAGAATGACAAAGTTTGTAACACCCCACTCATCAGAGTCAAATTTTCGCATCTTCTTATTTTGAAAGTACTTATAAATTTTTTCAAAATCTTCTTAACTTAATTCGGAATGCTACTAAACTTATCTTCTTTAAAATCTGTCTTCTCAAACCTTGGTCTAACAACTAGCTAGATATAATAAAACAGATTTTACTTATCAATCATATATGGAAACTTAACTTGATAAATCTTCTAAATTCGAAAAATACTATCATATATGTTCAATATCTAAAAGGCGTAGCGGAAATCTTATAAGCATGGTATAATAAA